ATAACTTGAACCGCACCCAGGCTCTTGAGTCGGAGTAGGGCTTTTGTGGATTCCACATTACGTGTGTCAAGGGCCAGCAGATTGAGGCAATAGTTCGGTCTAATCTGTATTTGCCGTCAGGAGCGACGTCCTCCAGTTTCTTTTTCAGAACCAAGGGGTTGAGGTTGGTTACGAGTTTTGTTGGGTCAGTAGGCTTGACAATGACGGTGAGATTTGGAAGTGGTTGACTTATGATGGTTGATTGACTCGAATTAGAGCCATGGCGTCTCTTCTTTGTCATTTGAGTCGTCCATTTGTCTCCGTCGTCAAACTCATCCGTCATAGAAGCATTGTCGTCAATGATGGCCGGCTCACCACATTCGACGTCGGCGGATGCTGGCTTCGGTGCTTCATGGTTGCTCATATCCGTTGAATCCCGAAGGGTGGAGACGGATCTTTGGAGTACCGAAGGAAGATGCTCCGAGGAGTTCCGTCCGGTACGTTGGCTGTTGATTGTCAAAAATACTACGATTTCTCTGGAGCGATGAGAACGATCGTCCTTCCGAAAGCGTCGTCGTCGTCGTTTTTTTTTTTTTTTTGGCAGCCCGCAAAAGCAGCGAGAGCGCTTATATGCGCGCGAACTGCCGCTATTTCGTTCCACGGAGAAGCTCGAGTGTTAAGCTAAACACGGCAAAATGTTTCCGCAGAGCCCTCGTACGGTTTCCGTTCGTGACGTCACGACCAGGGTTTGCCTCGGCATAACGTCACGAATTTTAAACTTGACTATTTATCATGGGTTCCGAACTACACCTTTGATGGCGTGTGTAACAAAATCACGAACGAAGCTCGAGGGTTGCTTGGAGTCATCGAATTCTTAAAGCAAACACCGACAAAATAGACAGTTTGATGTAGTTATTATTTCCGTCGATAAAAACAAAATTATTAAAAAGAAAGTCACGGCGAGCGTTTGGTTTATTGCGAATGTCGACCTCCTTATGCATATTATGTCTCAAGCTTCTTGCTCCGTGATCTGTTCTTCGGCGTTTCTTATCCGCCATTGTTGCAATCTGATTCGCAGCGGAGCGATCATGAGATTCTCAAAGCTCGACATGCTCAGCGTTTCTAAGGTTGTCAGCGGCAACTTAAAGGACACATGCAAAGGAAAAAAAAAATTTTTTTAGACAGCTTAGATGGAAAAAGGATGTCATAAAACGATTTTACAACGAAGAAACAAAATTTTTAGAGCTATATTTACGGCGCTATACGAATTTGTAGTTGGCGCTCGCGGGAGCCTCCGCTGGTCACGTGGTAGGCCCGCGCGCCGCCGCGCTGCGTCGCCGCCGCACGCTGAGCGTTGTGCGAACGCCGCTTCAACGGGTTTCTCCACGCTGCCGTCGCCGCCGCCGCACAACTTCGTCTGCTTCGGGGCGCCGCCGCCGTCGTCTGACCGGCGCACAGGTCTATCACGTCTGCTTGCGCTTTTTCAGGAGTTTCCTTTGGGCTCTAAAAGTTACTTATTCGTCTTGTTTTTTTGTTATACTTCAAACAAAGATGAATAAGTTACTTCTAGAGGCCATAGGAAGCTTCCGAAAGAGCGCAAGCACCACGTGATAAATAAAGACCAGTCACGTGATAAATACAGACCACTTTTCCGCGGTGCCCGCGGGCGCCAACTACAAATTCGTTTTGCGCCGTAAATATAGCTCTAAAAAATTTATTTCTTAGTTGTAAAATCGTTTTATGGCGTCCTTTTTCCATCTAAGCCGTTAAAAAAAAATGTTTTTTTCCTTTGCATGTGTCCTTTAAGTCAGACCGCCCGCAGGTACAAACCGATAGCACTCACTCTAAAACTTCTGGGGGAAAAAAATGAAGACTGTATGGTTATCTATTGGCGACACTTATACAACCCAAAGCGTGATCGGCATTCGAGCGATTCGTCCCACGAGGCACGGACGTGGTCAGTTGGCGTATTTGCACGATGATTTGATGCGCCTCTTGCGAGACAAACAAAAGGTATCGAGGGGATTTTACTGAAAGCATGGCACTATTCGGTTTGACCTATAGGGAGTCGCGGAGCGTGAGGTCACCTGGCACGTTCTCATCGCTGGATTGGCTGCATTAATAGGTCGTGACATCGGCCGCGGTCACTGTATAGTACACCCGTGAGGGATATGAAGGTGAACAGCCCTCTTGTTTTTCACGCTCCTGCAAATTTTGGAACAAGCTCTGTTCCAGAAGAGGGCTAGAATGCAAAGTTTAAACCGTTGGCCGCGCACCATTTGAGACGTTGAGAGTTAACATAGCTTTGGGGAGCCGCAAAAGAGGCAAGAAACCAGATAAGGTGTTCACCTTCATATCGCCGGCGGGCATTTGAAAGTGATAGCGCGTCGCGCGTCTGTGAGACTGCGCGCTACCATGGCATCACTGCGTCACGTTTCCGTCGCCTCTAATTTTTTTTTCTTTTTGTGGTGCACCATACAGAAATTGCAACGAGATATCGACATAGACCACTCTCCGTCAAAAAACTGACCTCTGCGTTGTCAGGCAAACGACGCGTTGGGCGAGCCGCCGCCATCCGTGCAAGCTCCAGAAAACAACAAGACTAAATGCTCTGGCATGGGGCATTTGGTGTTGGTGTCGCCGGTCGTTGAACTTATTAAAAATAGATCTAGCGAAAACTGTCTTGTTCAATTTATTTGCACAAATACGCAAACACCTCTACATGTAGTGTCCCCCTCAGGGTCTTAAAATTAAGATAGGAGAGCTCTCTAGTACACTCAACCGTACGTTTTTTCACCTTTATCTCCTAAGTAATGTTAACCTTAACATTCCTTAAAAATCCGTCCAAACGGAAATACTTCTGAATATTATTAAAAACCTTTTGAGCTTTCAGGGGAATATCTAATGGCCGTACGGCCCTTGTTGCATCTTCATAATGAACCTTCAAAAGAATCAATGCTCAGGTTTGTGTAGGGAAATTTTCCCCTTGAGTGACGAACATGTGAATCACCCTTAAACAAGGAGCTATGAACTGAACTGATCTGACGTTCATTTTGCAGGTCCGCTGACTGATAGCGCGTGAATGCATTTATGTATGATTGTATTATCTTCCTCTTTCTTCATTTTTTCTTTTACTTCGCCCTCTTTTTCTTACATCAGGTTTCTGTTTCTCATCCGCTACTTTTCCTGAAAGAGTAGCACGAACCAACGTTTGAACACTGATTGGCATTGTCGTGTTTCTGTGGATACGCGAACGTGATACTAACCTTTGATCTCTCCTGGAACGAGCATGTAACTTACGTGGTTGATAACGCCAATAGTATGCTTGGTTATCTCGAACGTAACTTATTTGTAGCTCCTTTATCGTTAAAGTTTTTTTTTATTTTTTTTTTTTATTATAAGACATTGGTGGCGTTCGAAACTTGGATATGCAGCCTCCATCTGGAATCCCGGTAAATAACTCATTGCCTCCCTTGAATTCCTATAGAACAAATACGTACGTTTCATATTGGCTAACTATAATCGCACCACCAGCATAACATCAATGAAAGACAGCCTACGTGTTCCCGAGCTCGCACATCGATCGCCGCATAATTTCGAGACTTTGTCTCTTTTACAAAATCTTTCATGATAACTCTGTGCTCAAAAATGAGCTAATAGATCTCCCATAATTTGTTTCAGCACGTCTTGATCATCACCATAAGGTTGGCATTTCTTTTTATGGTTATTACATATCTTATTCATCATTTACTCCTGGAGAATCCAGTGACTGAATCGCCTACCTACATACCTTGCATCAATTGACGATTTTGCTGTTTTTCCTACTGCACTTAGTAATCATATATTTTCTTTTGCTTAATTACTCTTTATGTCCTTTCACTGTTTAACTAACGTGTATTTTGTCCATATTGTTGCAACGTTTGTATTTTTTCCCTCTGTTTATATCGAAAAAAAAACAAAAAAAAAAACACTACTTTCATTTGTAATGCCTTTGGCCCTGAGGTTAAAATAAATAAATAAATAACTGATCACGGAGGATATACTCATTTGCGCTTGGTTGGAATGAAGTATCGCAAACTGGTGCTGGTCGAGTGTTTTTTTGTTTTTTTTTCGAGAACATGTTCACGCGATTTGGCACAGCGCACATCATCCTAAACGGCGTAGAAAAAGGGATGTGATTCCACATCTTTTTGTTGGGGTCTCGCATCCGCGTGTTCGCCAAATCGCACCACTGCACTTCCCTGAATCTTAACATCGGCACTCGCACGGAGTTGTACAATTACTGCGATCGTTTGAGGCACCATATGTATGTGCGCGAAAAGGAAATGTTTTATAGTGTTACGCGCACCGATAACGTTCAAATTACTCGCTTTTATTGGGAGCCATGGACTCCAAAATACGGCTGGACTATCGCTCGCTCATTGTTGGAATTGCTTAAAGTTTGACGGACGCTCACAAATAATAAAGCAAAACAAAGAAACAATCTCGATTTTTAGAACTCGCGGACGACCTCACGATCAAGACCGCCGAAAGAATGGAACGCGCCCCCTTTAACTCGATTCTCCTCAGAAAATCTCTCAACCGTTCGTTCGCGAAAAAAAGGATGACACACGCACACAAACCCCACGCCAATCAGTCGTCTCTCCTTTGAACAAAAGAGGTTCACAGTACGTGGAGAAGGAAACGATTTAGAACAAAGTCAGCTCGGGTAAACGCCGACGGCGACAAAAAAACAACCCTGCACGCACGTCCCACCCCAGGGCGAGTGTGTGCGGCAGTGGAAAGGGGGGGGGGGGGGGACACACAATCAGGCCCCCACCGAGGCCTAGGGCCCAGCGAGAGAAAGGAGACGAACGGCGGTCTAAAGATCGCCCCTTCCCCCTTCTTCCGTGCGCCGACAGAGGCAGCAGCAACAGTGCTCAGAGAAGCGCCGCCAAGCCGATCCGGCGCATGCGCAGAGGGGCCCCGGCCGCAGGGAAGGGGACGATGGTCGGCGCGAGCTGACGGAGCAGGCAGCAGGCATGCCGCCCAAGTACGACCGGCGAGCACAGACACAGCGTACCGAAAGCCGTGAGTCCCGCCCCTCTTACTCGACCCCGCGTTTAAGCCTGAGCCCGACTCGGGCCTACCAGGTCCGCCATTGGAGTTGTCGTGCCCGCGCGAAAAGGGAACCTACGTTCCCGGATCGGGAGCGTGCGCGCGCGCGCGCGCGCGGCCGAAGGGGGCTTGGCGAACAGCCCGAGCACGTAGCGAGGGAGAGCCGAACGCGCGGGGGCACCCCGACGTCCTTCGATTTTATTTCGCGAGGATATATATCGCGCTGGGGGGCGGATATCGTTTTAGGGAACCCTGGCTAGGGGCCTGGCGGGCAAGTTTCCCGTGGACCCGTCGTGCGGACCTGTGGATACTCGACTGGCCCTCTTTCTTATTTTTTTTTTACCCTCTCTCAAACCGGGACGTCGCAACTCGAGTCAGGACCTCTGCTCGATTTATCGGGGCAGGCCAACGATAAAAGGGGTGGCATCTACCGTGCCCAATTTATATATCTATACCTCGGTCGTGCTAGGCTGTGTGGGTACACGCGTGAGGGGTTCCCTGACAGCGGCCGTTTCTCGACTCCCCGAGTCGTGCGCTCAATTGATTCGCGTACGCGTTGAAGCGCTCACCGCCCGAGATTAATCTGTTATGAGCTGAGGCGGCGCGGTCGAAGTTCCCGCCGAATCGAGACCGGTGTTTCTTTTGAGGTGTCTGCTGCCTGTCGGAACTTGTTCTTGGAGGTCGAGATTTTGGAGGATTTAATTAACGAGCAGGCGCTGAACCGCATAGATGATCTTCGCTGAAAACAACATATAAAGTAGCGAGCGAAGACTGTAAAAAAAAACGATGCTTTTATTCCGTCTCGTGCACGTAGATTTAACTGCTGTCGTTCCGTGTCAGTGCCGTCAGTAGAATGCACGGAGAGAGACATGAAACGCTAGCCGGACTTGATTCTTTGACCTTGCGTACTCCGCGGAGATAGACGGGGCTGCGAACAAGAAAACACAGCCGAGACGTGCGAGCGGCATGATTTGATTCCACGAGAGGACTATTTCTTCTCGGTGTTAGAAGCGACGAGAAAATATATAGACGCATTCTTTTACGAATTTTGTTTGCGCTTGATTTATTTCCATTCTTTGGAGAGAAACCAGTGTTCGTGGCAAACGCTATGTCTATGTCGTCGTTTCTTTTAGTAGCTCGTTGCATTATGAACTTTAATTTTGATGAATTTAGATTTGAGGCATGATATAGCGGTGGTTTATCAAGTATTGGTTCTAATGTGAAAATAAAGAATTACGTAATACTGGCACTCTGTGCGTCCGGAAGGATCTTAGAAATTAATCTTGCTCTCCAGAAAAGGGTGAAGAACACATTTTTAGAAGCTTCTTCGTATAATGTAATGTTTCTAGGAATGTAAAGCGGGTCTATAAGAGACACAAAAAAAATGTTCGACGTGGAAGAGAGTGCTTGTCGATTGTTCAGCTTACGATAATTAATCGCGATCACAGACGTCGGTACTACGATGCTTCAGGGACAGAGGGGAGTTATGGCGAATTCTGTTTTCGTAAAACAAAACTGCCGCGCGCCCGGATCGGTATCAAACTTGCGAAAACGTTTTGCTAAAACTAGCCGTTTCTCTGGGTTTGTTAGACTTAATCTCCTGGAGTTCACCATGATCACACTTTGGTTGCTCAGGGCACCAATTTCCTCTATACCGTAAGGTGGGGCAACATGAAACAAAACATTTCAACTTCAATGGAAATATTTATGTATTCTTCAATTCTGAAACAACACAACATGGAGATATTCTTGGATGTCTTGCCTCTATGCTCAGTAAAAATTCCTTAACTGGAGCGAGAGAAACATCAGGCAAAATAAAAATATCTGAAAGTAACTTAATATCACATTTTGCCCCACCCTGTAGGGCGAAACGAGACAGCGTAATCAGGGAAAATGAGACACATTTCAAAAACCCTGCTACGCGTTCACTTTTTTCCATAAGAACACTTGAAACGTTCTGTGCGAGCTCCAGCGCACTCATCACGAGCCCACTCCTTGCATCCCATGCACTCGATTCATATTGAACGCGGGACTGCTTGGCTCCAGACACATGCCACTCTCTTGTGGTATGCATCGCATGGTCTGCAGAACGTTCAGACATTACGCGCTTCCACTAATGATATTTCCCTTCAGTTTCAATATTTATATCTTTTGGGGAGAGGTGGGGGGGGGGGGGGGGGGGGGGCAGTGGAACTCCGGTCCTTGGTTGTTTTCGCCAACAGAAGCTTTATCGTGTGGGATGATGACGTTAGAGTAGTGCTGCTCTCAGACCTGCTTGTTCTCTTTTTCTGTCCTATGTTAGGTAGAGAAGGGACGTTCTTGAAGCTTGAAACGTGGGCGAGAATGCACCTTCTGTAGCCCAGCGGTTTCTTTGTAGAGTTGCTGCTCTTCACATCCCCCAGTCGCTTGGCTCGCCTTTGAAGCGCTTCCTTTGGTGCGCCAAAAAGTGCGGCAGCAGTGCGAAGGAAGTGACGCTCTTGCTGGACACTTTCAAGAGCTTTGTTCATGTGACTTTCGCGCCATAAAGCCCTTGTTGTGTTTATTTTATACGTTCGAACCATCGCAGGCACTGAGAAGAAAAAAAAAAAACATAGCGCAGGATCAACCAGAAGGCTTGTGCATTATTCATATGCTCGTCATGAAAAGCCAGATTGTCGCATTTTGCCCCGCTCGTATCCCGTTATGCAGATATTTATCTCGTTTAAAAAGCCACCACAGCTTGCAAAAACATTTGGTCCGCATGGACCTAATAAAGCATAATTATAAAATTAAAGCTTACCTTGGCAGAATAGTTGGTGCCAAACAAGGTGTACGTTTCCAAGCAAAACCTCGCACTGAAATTCGCGCCTTTTTGGCGGGGGGTAAACGCGTCAACCTCAACTCCGCATATTGTTCTCTCCACAACACTCTCGCCGGCAGCTCTCATATTTTACGCATGTAAAGTGAAAAGACCACGACATTTTCTCGTAAAATTTAAAATTACTCCAATTGTTTGTTTAGGAGATGGATGGCTGTAAACACGAACTGTCGCATTTTGACCCGCGTCACATATTACCCCACCTTACCCTACCGTGTGCAACATATGTTAGGCTATAAATTAATTTGAGTCAGTTCGCGAATCTAAGAGGTGATCCATAAAGCACTTCGTTCGTGGAAAGGTGTAAACGCGCGACTTTAGCGTTCCGCGAAATATTGCAAAAAGCGTTATTTTTGAAGGTTCGGAGAACATGCTGTATTCTATTCGTATGATTAGAGTCCCTCGATAGTGTTTAGCGTTCAAGCATTATTTTATGATTGGATGACTTTTACAGCCAACGGGTTTGTAACATTATAGTTCTTGCGTAATGCAGGGTCTCGATTGTAAGGTTTCACTTCTGACTATTCTTTTTTTCATCTTCAAAAATCGTTTTTCAACTTAAAAAAAAAAAAAAAGAAGACACTTTCATGCAGGGCTTTGGCAGCACTACCTTGGTTCGAAAATTACGTCCTTCAAAGTATTAAAAAAAATCTCAGCAGTCAAAAATCCACTTGTAGTGAAATATTGGCTGGTGATGTCGGGGTGTCGTTCAGCCGTAAAACAATGTTAGCTAAATGTCTTTGGGTCAGATTTTTTTATTTCCTTAGTTATAAAACGTTTTTAGCCCTTCGTTTTTATTTATGCGATAAATACTTCAGAGTGATTTTGCGACCTGTGTGGAAGTTGTGGGTACATGCGATTGGCAACAACATATCGTGGTCGCGCAATTGTTTTACATGGAGACGCCAGAAAACGTAGTACCCGCCAACATGTTGTTATCGCATTAAAACAAAAAAGATCCATGTGCACATGACGAAAACATACACGAACCAGGCTTGATAACGCCGGCGTCCTTGAACGATCAATTAATGTCAAGAGCGCTGCTCTTTTGGAAAAGCTATCTGCACATATAACGCAGTACACAATGGTCGATATGCGTAGTACAAGAGAAACAGTTGCAGGAAACTGATAGCGCAACGGAAGTTGGCAACGCGTTTTGAGAGCAAGGCTGCCGATGGAATCTAGAGTATTTGAACGAAACATGTCATTCATATGCAGTGCTCAACATGACTAAACGAGAATGCACGCAGACTGTACAATTAAGATACTGTAGTCTGGTGGGATGCCAATCATACCTTAAAAAAAAAAAAGTTTTGCTAGTTTTTTTTGCAGATGAGTATCTTTGTTCGGCACGACGTGGATGTGAATATCCACGCCGCCTCCGTACTGCATAAACTCGCAGAATGTTTTTTTATCGTTTTCGTTTGTTTATTTAGATATATAATACATTTTGTGGAGTTCCTTTCACCCTTGTGACGTGTTTGACGGATTGAGTCTCGTACCTACGTCACTGAAGCGCATGCTCGCTCTAGTAACGTGTCCTGTAGACGTAAATAGTAAAACAATTACGGTATATTTAACCGAAATACTTCAGGAATAGTATGTAAGGGCATACATGACAGAAAAAGGTATAACTAGGCGTACACGATTTGTTTTACACCAGTCTAAAAATAAAACAAACTTGTCCGATGCACGCTATAAACCAGGTGTGATCTGCACCAAAAAATCAGCCCTCACAATGTTTGGAAAAAAAACGATGCATCTCGGGGTCCCACCCTACAATACGACGTCTCACTGCCCTGCTTCAGAAAGACAGCCTTGGCTAATGCGTGGTCACAGCGCAGTATTGAGAGGATCAACTTCCACGCTTCAGCATGTATCACACTGAAGTCTGTGGCCCCGACAGTATACCACTCTAAAAAACGCCCGTGCGTCCACTTTCCCTCACAACACTCGGAGAACCAATCAGCGCAACTTACGGAGGCAGCTCAGGGAATAAGGATGCCGAAACATATGTTTAGACCAAAAAAACGCTGTCTGAGTTGTGACATAAGCAATGCAAAACGTCACGCTTGCATTGCTTAATGTCACAACTCAGACTGCGTTTTTTGGTCTA